AATCACTTTAGCTTACAAATGTAGCAGTATTTACAAATCTCTGGAAATGTGAATATTTACGGCATGAGAGATACTTTCAAACAATTAAGTTGTGTAATTTTTGAAAAAACGAACAAAATAATACAGCATAATTATTTCTATGTCACCTTAAACAGTGCAATAAGCACTATCCGTAAGAAACGTTTGAAGAAATAAATTTGAGCCGTTTCTGAGAAAATGGCGTTTGAGCGTTTCTGAAATGTGCAAATTTGAGAAATTTTCAGCTACTTTTCACAAAACACTATTGAGTTTTCAAGAAACTTTAAAAGACTTCATTTAAAGCACATTTGTTCACATGCAATCATGTGAACAAATCGCCGTTAATGGAAATTTTAATGACGTGAGTGGCTACTAAATTATTTTTTTTGTAACTTTTGAAAAAACAATAGAATAGAGCAGTATGGTGAGCATGTCGCACAATAGAGTGCACTTAGCACGATCCATACCAAAATTGTGAAGAAAAAAAATTGGAACCATTTTTGAGAAAATCTTGTTTTTGTTATTTTTTAATTGCACATATTGCACGCAATATTGCTCGAAAACGACTAAAATTTTCAAAAAAGTACATGACCTTATTGAAAGAACTGATTAAGAACAAAACTTTTTTTTTGAAGGAAATATCTCTTTAATTTTGTAGTTGTAGGAAGGCGCCGGAATAAATGAAAACTTTTGAAATTTTCGAAAATTCAGAGTTAACCTTGGAAAGTGGACCTATGCTACCCTTATAAGTGTATTTCTTAAATTTAAAGAAGAAATTTAATTAAAGAAGAAAGAAGAAACAAAAAATTTAAAGAAGAAATTTGGAGCCGTTTTTGAGAAAATTTTGAAAATGGAGGGCTTAATGTAAAGTACCCCCAAATTTTAAAGAATGATCTTCAAAATTTGAAAGCTTCAACTAGAGCCAGGCAGGCGCTTCTTCGATTAGGAAAATCTCCTACGCATTGTTTAGGCGCTAGTAGTGTTCCCAATCGGACTGATGACGGGCGGGCAGCGGACGGACGTTTAAAAGAAACACTTTTTCGGTATCAGGGGATCCCAAAACGAGTATTTCCGTTGATATCTCAAAATTGATTATCCGCAGCATTACATAACTGAGCCTTTACTATGTATAATATTCCGTATATACGTAGTACGTATTCGAGGGAGTAAAAATACGCTTTTCGGTGAATGTCTGACTTTACGTGACCTCACGTGCATTGATAGCCATCGGAAGGAAAATAGATGAATTAAGTCGTAGCTTTATTACAAATATTCGCCTTACATTGATGTAAATCCCTAAGAAGAAAAATTCAACATTCCAAGCGGAGAATTTGAATTTTGCATTAAAATAATTGTATTAGAAGGATTTTTGAGATAGTGACCCTATGAAATGCTTGATTATTTTTAATTTTTTTGTTTGTGAACATTGTAATTAATACTAATATTTTTGTAAAAACTTATACCTTCTGTTATAACTTAATATTTAAAAATTAGTTATGACTATTTTATGACTACTGCAGATGGGAGGAATATTTTAAGGGATAAAATAATATTCCCACTTTCCCATTTTCACTGTCCTTGCTCCTCTTAAAAATACGCGTTTAAAAATATTACCACAGAAATGTTTACATATGCATACTTATTCCCTATGGCTTAACGGAAAATGCTGGCAGTGAAACCACACTTAGAAAAGAAAATTTTTAATGGCGTGTTCAAAAATTAACTCCAAGTACTGCCAATGTGATATATCATATACTCATGTTGTGCACGACAAATGAGCATGGCTTTTAGAACACACCTTACACTAGAGTTCTAAAAACTAACATTACTCACTTTCCAAAGTACATTGGAACAAATTAACGAATGATTAATGAAAAATCATGTTTAATGTAAAAATCTTTTAAAAAACAACAAAAACATCATTAGTCCCGTAAATGTAGTGCGTGTTTTTCTCGGGGGTGGGAGTGGTGATATTTCCCCGCTGGATGGCGAGATCCGGCGCCGACCTACCGTCGGCTAAAGGGGTTTCCCCAGCCGGGTATCCCCCGCCAGCGGGCCACCGCCTCAGCCGGGACAAGCTCTAAGCTCCCGACTGATATTGGATATTCCAGCATGTGTGGTCAAGTAGGGCATGTTAGTGTTAGTGTAAGTGGTAAAGGGATAATAGGACAAGCAGAGTAAAGACCACGCGCGGTTCGTGGCCGTTTGTTAGGAACTTCTCCGGCATTCGCCTGGTGTTGATAGGAGAAACCACGGAAAACTACCGATCAGAGCAGCTGGCCGCTAGAATTCTCCTCCAGACAGCAATTCTCCTCCAGACCCAGCTGACAAGCTAGTGTTGAAAATCTTGCCACTGTCGGGACTCGAACCTCGGTTCTCCAGATCAGAGGTGCATCGACTGCAATGACATCAGTTGATGCCCTGAGCCACCTCTCTCCTTGGGGGATCGAATGGAATTACCAGTTTTCTGTCTTCTAAATATCACTATAAACTATGAGTGTTGTGGAAGGTATTGAATTCAGTCAATTGTTGACTACATTCAATACACCATTTAAGATGTGTAGTGAATTTACTTTGTACAGGGTGCGCCAGAGAAACTTACTTATTTGAAAAAATTCCCGCGCGGTGAGTTGGGCGGTTA